TTTCATATATTCTTCCGATACATCATTAATTGAATACAGCATGAACTTAATCTTAACAAGTCTTAATATCCTCTGGACATTTGAAGATTTGGAATTTTAAACCCAATTACATGTTGTAGTTAGTCTATGTCAGACCCGAAAATAAATGACATATAGAACAATGCATGTTTGTCAACTGCATACCACATACTTTTAGGTCCTTCAGTTGTCCAAGTGAAATGGTAGTATGGATTGATTTTTGTTGTTGCTTGTGGTGATTGAGAGAGAGAGAGAGAGAGAGAGAGAGAGGTACGGATGATAGAAAGAAAAGCAAACTCAGTACTGGCAGCCGCCAGTCTTCTATTTATATTAATCTTTATAAAAAAGACAAAATTACAAGTATGCCCCTGRCGGCATATCCTAGGATAAGAACAATAAGAAAAAAAAAAAGAAAGAAAGGACTAGTAGCTGAAACTGTCTCACTAACATCAGTTACAAGGAACACTTAAGCCTTACAACAATTTTAATTCTTAAAAGAACTAGCAAGCAAGTTATAACTTTTTTTCTTTTGAGAGAATGTAAAGTATATTGTATTTTGTTGTATTAGTGTCAAAAATTACATATCCTGTATAGTAAGAAGCTGCACAAATATAAACCCATTTACTAACCCTAAAAAAATCGACGCTCAAAAGATATCATCTTTATATACATTATATGTTGACATCCAGGCCTTTAGAACCTCTACTACATAATTAGTCACCCCTACCTCTGGCTTTGCTTTCTGCTCGAAAATCCAGCCATTTCTGCTCGAAAATCCTGCAATTGGAATATCTATCCACATAAGTCTTCCTTTTTTGGACATACCTAGAATCTTTCACCTTTTTAATACCTTTACCGACCTTGGACCAGTTTAAATGAACCGAGTTTAAAAGTGACTTCATACTGTTGCAAGAAAACTACAGTGGATGAGTAGATGGTTTGAGGATTTAGTTTCTTGGCCACAAAGCAGACAGAGCAGGTCTGGAGTAATAAAGCGTTTCTTTATCAGCATTTCCTTTGTGAGGTACTTCTCCCTTGTGACCACCCAAGAGAAAATTTGAATTTTGAGGGACAGAAATTCCCCAAATGGTCTTTTACTCGATACAACAGCATGAAGTTTAGCAAGATTTGGGTGTTGCAATCCAGAAATAATGCTAATCTCATTTACAAATTCACTCTTTCCTTGCTTTGATTTGGAAGAAAGGAGTAATGACATACAAATTAAACCCAACTGATATTTTACCAAACATTGTATAGGCTGTTTAAGTAGAGTACCTTGTAAACAGATCCAAAACCACCTTCTCCAATCTTGTTTGCTGCATGAAAGTTGTTGGTTGCAACTTTAATTTGTCTTAAGGTAAAAGAACCCATTTGCAGATCTAGCCCTCTTAAATCTATGCAAGGAGCCAGATAAGAGGATGCTGATTATTGAAGAATCACTTTGGTGCTTTGCATCTAGAGGACTTACTCTGATTAATGCTAGAAGCCATAAATTTTCAAATACAAAAGGAAAGAAAAATAAACCAAGTTCTCTTGAGGAAAATTTTTGCATGTTTCTTTAAATTTATCAATTCCATATTATCTATAGTAAATTTAATACCAAATGTCCATGAAGTTGCAAGAGACCCAAATTGTTTATGCTAAAACTGGTATATGGGTTTGACATTTAACTTGGAACTATGTTTCCTACACATAGAATGCCTTTCTATATCATCATTCTTCAGAATCATCATTGTAGATAGCTTTTTGTTCCAATTTGCTTCGTGACTTTTTCTCTATTGATAAAATGGTAAAAACTAAAATGCCCCTTTCCCCCAATTGGTGTTGCAGGTATAGAGGGAACAAGGTAGGTTTAGTGATAATAGTTTAACAATTCATATTTTTCAATAGTGTTTTGGGGAAAAAGCTACATTATATTGACACTTCAAGGGTGGGGTTGAGGAGTGAATGAGCAGGTTTAGGAGTAACATTTAATGATCGATTTCTTTCTCTAATGTTTATTTGAAATGTGTATACTTCGCATTTCATAGTATCTCCCCTGTTTTGACTTCAATTGGCGTGCACAGGGTGAGGTAATAACTTTATTAATGCTTTTCTTTTATTTTCCTCTCTCCTTTCCTGCCCTTCAATGGTGATATGTAAAGGGATTGAACTCTTAAAGAATTTTTCCCTCTCTTTGGTTGTTACTATATTTTACCTTGAATTTCACAATTCTTTGTAGTTTGTTTGGATGGTAGTCCTCCAGCATACCATTTAGATAAAGGATTTGGCTCAGGAATTAACAATTGGTTGGTTCATCCTTCAAAGAAGCCATGATAATGGGTTCTGAAGTATATCAGAATTTGAAGGGTGTGATAAAAAAGAAGTATGGTCAAGATGCCACGAATGTTGGTAACGAAGGTGGCTTTGCTCCTAACATTCAGGAGAACAAGGTCTTGAGTTGCTCAATACAACCATTGCTAAATCTGGTAGCACAGTCCAGGCTGTTATTGGCATGGATGTTATTGCTTCTGAATTTTATCGGTAGGACAAAACGTATGACCTAAACTTCAAGGAAGATAACAATAATGGGTCACAGAAGATCTCTGGAGATGCACTCAAGGATCTCTACAAATCATTTGTCTCTAAATACCCAACTGTATCCATTTGACCAAGATGACTAGGAACACTACAACAAGCTAACATGTGAAATTGGAGAAAAAGTGCAGATTGTGGGAGATGATCTCTTGGTTACCAACCCAAAAAGGATTCAGAAAGCCGTCAAAGAGAAGGAATGCAATGCTCTTCTTCTCAACGTCAACCAAATTCGTTCCATGACCAAGATCATTGAGAAGTTAAAAATTTTTTAAATAGTATTGACCTTCTAAAGGATGGATGCTTTAGAGGGTCATAATTGATCGATCATTTCAAGCAGGGCAGCATGTGTAATTGGCACATATATGCAACTCTGGGGTACCTACTCTCAGTTCTCTCTCTCTTATAGTATGTTTTAAAACATAGATCTGCTTTGTTCAATTTTATAAAATGATTAAAACAGTGTTCCCAGTTTGAGTTTGATATTAGCTCTGTGCAAGCCGAATATAAATCAAGCAACTATAAATTTATAATTTCATATGTCTGAAGCTGGGTCAGGTTACTAGGCTTACACAGAATTGTAACAGATCCAATAACAATGTCAAATGACACAGAAGATTAAGGGTTACTGAGACTCATATTAGAATCTGTGAATTTCACTAGATTTAAACCCCCAATGCCTCCCACAGAAGGGCGTTTTGATGTAGTTATAGACAATGATATTATTCAGCATCTCAACATATCACCAGTAATTAGCTCACTTTCATCAGGTAAGTAAGCATCCGTTTGTGACTTCTGACTCTGTGAGGCTTCAGACCAAGAATCTGAACTCTTTATGATCACTGAAAATTGTTTTTACAACTTTACATATTTTAAACTCTTGTAATGGAATTTCCAAGAATTCGACCTGGAAAATGCCTGCAGGTGGTGTCTTTGCAGAGCCAAAAGAGCTTCTTGAATGGAAAGTTGGTTTTACCATAAATTATACAAGAGAGGATCCATATGATCCTCGTGAACTATCTGAATTCCTAGATATAAAACTATGGTTTGTGAGGCTTGATGCTTCTTATCCATGGTTGCCTGTTGTATTGGACTGGCGAGCCGGAGAGCTTGCTCGCTATGCAGCCATGTTGGTTCCTCACCAGGTACTGAATTACTAATTAAGTCGATCAACTTATTTGCTTGTTAGACAATTCATTAGATTCCTAAGGTCCCAAGTTTCTTTTGGCAGATGAGCATGAGAATGGGTGTTGTATTCAACCCAGAGGCATTGGAATTGTTTGCAATGAGGAAAGCTTTTATTGTGTACTCTTGGTTGAAGCAACATAAAATTCCAAAGTCCAAGTTGAAGACAAGGGACATGGCTAGAATGCTTGGATTTGTTGCAGGGGATGAATTGTTTGATCTGATTGATGCACACCCCATTTCTCCATCATAAGCTGTGAATTTCTGTAGTTCCAATATGTGGAACCTTGCATGAATATCCAATTCCCAGCAAATTTGTGAAGCTCGTAAGTACTGGCAATGAGGACATTGAATTTGAGAAACATCCACAAGATGCAACAAGAAAGTTAGAGTGGAAGGACAACAGAGAAGTGAATGCAATCCTTTTCAATAACAAGTAGAATGTTTTGATGACTGAAGTATTGTATTGCTCTTCACACTCCAAAAAAAAAAAAAAAAGACAAAACAAAAGAAGAATGGGTATCATTTTGTTTTTTCACTAATGGTCAATCGATTTTGGGTGACAAACTCCCGACCTAACCACGTAAATTTGGTTGGTGAAACAGCTTCCAACCGAACTAAACCAATCCTTGAATACTCCTAATTTCAGCTAAATTAATAAACTAATTTCAAATAAATAACAATAGTTAAATCTCTAATAATTATTGAAAACCTATAGCAAAAATACATAATTATTGAAAATAAATTTATAATGAAAATACAATAGATATTTAATAAAAATATAATAAATACTGAAAATATATTAAATTAGTCAATAAATAGTGTAATCTCAAATAATAATTTAATCTCTAATAAATATTAATTAATAAATATAAAAAATACATAATTACTAAAAATAAATTTATAACAAAAATACAATAAGAATGACAAATTAAATTTCAAAAGTTAAATAATAGTTGTTTAATCTCTAATAATTATTGACAACTTATTGTTAAATAGCAAAACAAAAATAGATTTATAAATAACTATTGAAAAAATATTTATCAAAAAATACAATAAGTAATTACTGAAAATAAAATAAATATTAATTTTAGTATATATATAAATATATAATGAATATACATATAAAATTATTACTAATAAATATTATTTTTTGAAAGTTATTTTCTATAATTATTAATTGATATACATGAATTTAGTTATTTACAATATTATTTAGTAACTTAAATAATATTTTTATTAAAAATTTTAATATATACTAACAGGACCCATGCGATGCACGAAAAAATTGAAAGATTGAATCATTTTATTTACTATTAATTAATTGATAAATTAATAATCAAAATATGTTGTTAATTAACGAAAAGCATTCAAAGTTATTGTTAATATTTAAAATTTTAATAAGTGTATTTTTCATTTAACATTGATTTATAGAAAACAATTATTGTTAGTTTAAAATGAACAAATATTTTTTAGTAAATTTAATTTTATTAATCAATTGTAGTAATTTTAATAACTGTTATTATTTTCATTATTTTTAAATGAAATTTTTATTGACTTTAAATAAATAAAACTAAATACAAAAGCTAACATTTTTATTAATTTCACTAATAATTAATAATTATATAGGAATGGCAACAAGGTGGGGCACCTCATTCCTGTCCCTACCCCGTAGTCAAGAAACATTTCCCCATCCCCGCCCCGACCCTAGTGTAAGGAGGGTTCAAGGCAAGGCACCCACTTCCCATTAGGGTTAGGGAATCCTTGAATTTACCCACTGCATCCTTAGTGGTGCGCAAGTTTAGGGCAAGACACCCACTCCTCATCAAGGATAGGGAATCCTCTCATTTTCTCGCCTCATCCCCAATGTTGGGCGGGTTCAAGGCAAAGCACCCACTCCTCGTCAATCCAATATTCAATTCGAAAACAAAAATGATCAAAAGGATATACTAAGTATCAACTACATGGTAAATTTCTAAAAGTACACTAAATTGTCTTTAATTTTCAAAAATGTAATTTTATGAGAAATTTAAAAATTTTATTACATTTGTGTAATTTTGAAAATTCATTTTTAAATTGTAATTAAATAATTTATTTTCTTTTTAAGTGGTTTAATTACAAAATAACACTAATTTATCTTATATTTTCTAATATAAACTAATCAATAATTTCCTTTCTCCAATATTATACTAATCTATTTTAATAATTTGTGTAATTATTGATTCAAATTACAGTTTTCCATTTCCCATACTCATTTATCTTTAATAATTTACAATGAAAATTACATAATTTTTAAATAGTTTTCTAAAATCTATCAAATGTAATAAATTTTCCTAAAATTTCCAGAATATTACAATAATTTTAAATAACTATTTAATACATTTTAAATAAACTTTCAAAAATTTTATATCTTTTAATTTCTAAAATGTTATTTTAAGAAAATGTAGTTTTATGAAAATTTTTGAAAAATTTATTACACTTGTGTAATTATGGAGATTTGTAGAAAATTATTTTAAATTGTTATTAAATATTTATTTTTATTAGGTTATTAACTATAATAATAGCAATAACTAAAACTTTATACTTTTTGATAATTGTTAAATATAATTCTCAATTTTATAGAAATTAGTTAAAGAGTTTTCAATTTCTATAATGTGTTGTTAATTAACATGAATATAACAGTATTTACCCAAAATACTTTAAAAAGTTATAATGAGTTAATTGATAACAATATTATTAATTTTTGGTAATTTACTAATCATGTTTATTAACTTTTGGTAATAACACTATTTAATACTCATTAAATATGGGTTGGATTAAATATTAACCATATTTAACTACTTATTAATTAATATGAATATTTTAAATGTGAGAGAGTGGATATAGATTAGGGAGAGAGATTTTAGGAATTAATTGGGGAGTGGGGTAATATGATACGTTCCTAATGGCTTAAAGGGGATACCTTATGAGAGAGATTCTAGTAATAGTTTTAGGTTGTTGGGTTGGGAATGGTGACATGGCTTAATAGGAGTGGTGGGAAAGGGAAAGGAGAGAGAGTTAAGAAGAATGCAGGGTGGGGTAACATGATACGTTCCTAGTGGAGCACAGAGAGGCATGCCGATGTGGATGGGACACTCCTCCCTGTCCCTCACCCTCATAGTCAAGACACTCTACCCTATCTATGCCTCATCCCGGTGGGGGGGCAAGTTTGAGGCGAGGCACCCACTCCTTGTCTAGGATGGGGAATCCCTAAATTTTCCCCATCTCGAGGTAATCACCTAAAAATAATCTAATTTGTGTATACTTTACAATTAAGATTATGGGAATTTGGGGGTATTTTATAAATGGAATTGTGGAATCCTAGGATATAAGAATATGAGGAAAACTTAGAGATATTTTAAAAATCAATATTATATCTATTGATATTTTACTAATTTACCATCGAGTTTGGGGAATTATATGCAAACCCCATCCCTTACCCATCCTTGATTTGGAGCAAAAATATTTTTCTCGTCCCCACCCTATCTCTTCACCATCCCTATTTAAAATTCGAGAAAACTTGTCCCATTCGGGGTGGGGTAGGGTAGGGCCCTAGTTTTATAGGGAAATTTGTCATCCTTACAACTCTAATAATTTCTATAACTAATTAATTAATAGTAAATTAAATAACAATAAAATGCAATATTTTATGATAATTTTCAAAAGTTATTGAAATTGTTGTTAATTAGCAAATATGTATAGTAAATTAGTTATTTACAATAAATATAAATTAATGTAAATTATTTACTTTTTAAGCCAAAACTATTTACTTTTAATCAATGTGATGTAATTATAGTAAATTAATATTATGGTAAATTACATTAATTTTAATTAAAAGTAAATCATTTGTTGTTACTTAAAGTAAAATCAAGAGTGGTTGAAGTCAACCAAGTGGTCTAGATTGGTGTGGACAGATTTAATAATTGTCCTAAATTATTTCATAATTATTTATTAAAATAAT